AAAATAGAAAAAACTACATAGGTAATATGATATTTGAAAACCAGTGGCGTAGACGTTCAACATTTCTCTGGGTACAGGAAAATTGTCCGTTGGTGTGGCATGGATTGGAATCAGCAACAAAGTTTCCAGTAGCACACGGTGTACCATCATACTTGCAAACATCAATAATGTTGGGAAAAACACCAAAAATGTGACATTTCTTGAGTAAAAAGTTTGCTTTCTGTTCTCCACGAACGTAGACATAGTCAGCCGCATATATCACCTTATTTTTAATTATTTCATTTAACTTGGAATATTTAACGTCGCCGGAAGAATATTTAAGCCCATGGAAATTCTTCTCCAAGTAAGCGACAGTTTTCTTGTCTTTAGTATTTAATGTAGAAAAAGGTTGCGGAGGTGTAAAGATGTAATGACTTTTCTTGAAACCAATTTCGATACATAGTTCTTTAGGTACGAATAATCCGTCAACTGTAAAGCCTTGAATGTCAACAAACGCGATCCTCATGATGTCTGATGCGGAACTGAGAGTCCTTCGTTGCTTACGAGATGGTTTTAATAACTTCGGTGAGGGGGAAGTACTCGATTAAGCAGTCATGTATAATGATGCAGTAGGCCTTGGTGTTGGTTGGAAAGCCAGTATCGGCTTCGATATCCAATCTAACATCAACAGTTGATGATTTCATGGTTTCCTCTTGTTTGGAACAGTCAATAACAAACAAAGCGCGATTTTTAAAAGCGGTATAATCTAAAAGACATCTCTTCAGAGGAGAAGACGAAGTTGTATAGCTGGTTTGAAAGTCGCTATAGTTGAAATGAGCTTCAGTAAGTGATTGTTTGCAAAGTCCAATTGCATACGTTCGTTGGGATAGTATTCACCATTTAAAGATACTCGAATACTAGCAGCATTCACGTGATCAAACAGGGTAGGGTCTGAGGTTGCGACGTCACGTTTACCGGTTTGGAAACATACTATAATGAAACGTGGTCTTTCGATTGCGGTGCTAGTTTTAACTGACCATATTTCTATTCTCGCATCTGCGGTAATTGCAGGCAGTTCATTCAGATCCCATTTTCTAAATGGTATAAGTATCGGCTTATCAGTTTGAATAGCTTTCAAAAGTTGTTCTTTCACATCATCACTCGGGTAAATATGTTTGATTTTCAGTTCCATGCTTTCAATAGTTATTTTCGCTGTCGTCGTCGTTCCAGTTTTTT